TCTCTCTCTCTCTCTCTCTCTCTCTCTCTCTCTCTCTCTCTCATCACACACATATTCACAGTGACAAAAACAGCCGTACCGCACCCGACGCACCTGTGCATCTCGATATGATCAACGCCTCAACGCCGAGCTCAACGCCAGGGAGTCTCCCGCCCGTCCTTGGGAGCAGCAGGCAGTGGCAGTGGCGCGGTGGCGTCGCGCGAGCTTCCGCGGCACAGCGGCGGCGCCGGGGAAAAATAAATTACTGTCGCACCGAACTTTGTTATCGTGGCTCGTCGGCCCCCCTGACGCACGCTTCCTCCCCCCATCACCCTACCGCTTCCCCTCCCGGTCCTTCCTCCGGTGCGCTGCGAGCACCACACTCGCCCTCTACTCCTGGTAGTCGTGGACCCCGCCGGCCGCCGCCGTCCGAGAGCGGCCATGCTGTGCCGCCACGCAGCCGTGCGGGCGGGTTGCCTACTCACACGGCGGCCCTTGCGAGGGTCGTGGTCTGCGGCCCGCACGTACGACTGCATGCGGGCGGGCTAGGAAGCGGGGCGGGTACATCCAACCGCGTTCAGCGCGCCGTGGAAGGAACTGTGCGGCTGCGTGCCCAACTATTGGCATACTCGAGGCCGGACAGGACACGTCCGGCTATGACCCGGCCCTCTTAACTGGCCATAACTTTAGACTCTCCCTCCTTCAGGCCATGCTCCTTTCCCTCCCCTCTGTCTCTCCTCTCCTCGCCACTTTTCTGCGCTAACCCAAACCCAAAGAGCGCCCGTCCCCCTGTCTCCCCCCGCGTAAAGGAAGCAGCACACGGGGAGGAATAAAATTCTTCCGTTTGGCGGGACCGCCCAGTGGCTGCCATCCCTGCGGGCCGGGCGGGGCCGGGCGGGGTCGATCGTACGCCACCAGGTCACATAAAAAGGCCACACTGTCGGCGGCGCCGTGGCGTGGGCGCCCTCGCTGGAGGGGCGGACCCCGGGGCGCCCCGCCGCGTCGTCCCCGCGGTGTACCTCATGGTGTGTGAGTGCGACGGTCAAGCCTCATCGCATCGTCGTCTCGTCACATCGGTCGCGGTGCCCCAGCGGTCACGCTCGCCACATCGCCACCTCGGCTGCAGCGGCCTCGCGGGCGTCGATAGGTTTGGTGGGCCGGGCGTACGGCACCCCCGTCACGTCCGTATCCGTTCGGAACAAAACAGGCCGACAGGACAAGGGGGAAGGGGGGGGGGAGCCAGGCTCACTTCCTCTTTACGGCCTTACGGTGCCCTGTAAACTCTTTACGCCTTGACCCCTCCCCCCTCCCTCCCTATCCCCCCGGGCTGCGTTCGGAAAAGAGGATAGTAGTGTAGCGGTGTGCTCCCCCTACCTCCCCCCCCCCTACCACCCTTTAAAACATGGTCCAGAGGGAGGAAGTCACCCTGACGACATGGCTGACATGGGTCGTGCTGGGAGCAGGCGGTGTGCGCTAGGTCCAGCGGTGGCTGCACCGGCTCAGCACAGCACGTAACGAAGTCCACATTTATTTAACTTGTTTGGGATTGTGTCCACCTGGCCACACGGAATGTTTAAACAAAAGGAATCCATTCGCGTTCGGCTCAAAGTGAATGGGGAATCGGCCTGGCTCGCCCGGCGGCGTGACTCGGCGCGGCGGCTCCGGCTCCAGCCTCGATACGGCCCCGCCGCCCGCGAGTGTTGGTGGACGGAGCCGTTAACTAGACAATCGCAGCTGATCGCAGTCGTGGTTCCAGAAATTTTCAAGTGCTCCTTGAGGGCGATCCATTATTCACACACTTGGGGTAATTCACAGGATTATTCGGTCTTGATACATGTTGGAATCAGGAAAAGTTCACTCAATCGTAACATGTCCATTGGTGCCAAGGAAATTTTAATCCGTTGCCAAAGATGAAAGAACTTAAGTATAGAATAGATACTATTAGATGTTCCAAATAACAATAAATTTTGACTCAAACCTCATTCAGATTACAAATAATGTTCTTAATATTAAATGAAAGAATAACAAAATAGTATTTACATGAATGAAATAAAAACATTTTACTTTGTCCAACTGACTTTAGGGATGTCAAAGTGTTCCGTGAGACTGTCCAGGTGACGATTGAATTCTTCCACTCTTTGTTTGTGCGTTTTGGATGCCTTTTGGGCTATTCTTTCTTTTTGCTGTGGAAAAAGAAAAAAACAAAAGAAAGCATTAGTTTAAGCTAGACCAACAAAGAGCTCAGTATGTTTATCTCACTAGATTACACACCATTTTCTCTTGTTGTTTCAGAAAAGCAAGCTCTGCCTTGGTACGTTGAATTTGGGGCGGTTTTTGAGTTTCTTGAGGAACCTCCGTTGCTTTAGTTACCTTTTCAAGCAGTTTCTTTTCTTCCTTGTGTTTCTTTTTCCTGTAATCAATACAGTTTCACAGTTCCGATCAGAAGCTTCAGGAGCACAGCTTACCATTTTGGCAGCGTGTTACTACTTAAATGGACCGCCGAAAATTCTTAAAGTAAAATTGAAATTTGAGGAGCAGCTGTTTTTTTTATCGATCATTAACTAAACTTTAACCACTTTAAACACCAACCACAAATTGAATGAGTTCTTAATGCACTGAGTAGGATAGGTTAGGTACTGTTACTTACTTCTTCACACCCTCAGTTTTAAGCTTAAGTGGCTTAGAGTTGGCAACTTTGTACTCCATGGTGATAGTGAGTTGTAAAAAAAATAATTAAACAATGGAAAGGGTTTTTCTCTTCTTACAGACAGCTGATCTCCACCTTCGGGTTTAAGAGTAAACAACAACACTCGCAAAAATCTTTGGCATTGCGACAGATTGGGTCCGTTCCTTTGCAAGTCGTCTGCTTTTGGTGTGCGTTCTAGGATGTTCCAGGTTCTACGAACAACAACAACTAAGAAATGCACATAATCAGACGGTGTAAAGTATATGAGGAGTGATTTATTCGTATTTTATCTTCCTCGTTTTGCTTATCGTTTATGTGCATGCGGTTTCTGTGGTCTCAAACTCACAAACTGTAGTGGTCTGGGGTGGTCAATGGCAGGGGTGCAAAGGGGTAGTGAGGAAGGGAGGGAGGGAGGTAGGGGAAGTGAAGGGGGTAGAGATGGTGGGGGTGGCGATTTTCGTGAGTGTGAAAACGCAAGATGGCTGAAGTTTTTACGTGACGGAGAGGCAAAGGAATGAAGTGTTATGATGATGAAGTGATGTCAAGCCCGTCCCTTCGTCATGAACCTTCGTCTCCAACTTGAATGATTTGGTGTGGTGTCTAACACATCTGGTCGGGATGGCCAACGAAGATAAAACAGAGAGGGATCCTCGGGGTGCCCTACTTGTAGTTCAGTCTATGATTGACATTTCTGCTGACCGCTTGGATGGTTTGAGGACACAATGTGCGACAAGTGCAGAATTAACGCAACAAGAAATTCGAACTTTAGAGGTAACACTCCAATTTCTTCCTTAAAGTTCCCTTACATGTGCCACCTTTTCATTGAACTTGACTATTTTCAACCCCCTCTCACACGGTCGTTCATTGTTTTCATAACCTCACTTGTGAAAATGTCATCCAGATATTAACCTTTCTAATAGCATCTATCTTGTTCTGTATAGTTTTTTCCTGTTTCCTAGTTTATTCATGGATTTATTTCCACAGGGCAAGTTAGTAAAGCTCTATTCAAAGCTACTTTTAAACAAATCATCCTTCATAGAAAACGGTGCATTGAGAGCAAATGAAGTCATTAATATACCTCCCTTGGACCAATGGCTGAAAGTTGTTGGTTTGACGCCTGATTCTATCACGGTTTGTATCATAGTAATCTCTCTCTCTCTCTGAAATTTCTGAATTATGTAAATAATCTGTCCTCAACCTCTAATCTGTGTTTCAGGGATTATGTAAACGTATAAGTACTTTAGAAGACTTACAACTTAAATCTGACAATGAATTGCGTGGTATGCTTGTTGAGAGACAAGCTAGAGAAGAAGATATTCGCAGACTAATTAGGTCACTTGATAATTTGAAAAGATACATTCAAGGTATTATTGTTTAACCTCACAGACCATGGCTGTTGTCTGCTAACACTGTACAGTTTTAGCTGAAATGATTGCTTATAAAAATTACAGATTTGAAAATTCGAGGAGATGAAGCCAATGATACTGAACCTCCATTGTATTGGGACTCTTGGGAGCATCAAAGTCCTCAGCGTACACCTACTAGTGTATCACCCAGGCACCTTCGTCAAAGAGCTACACGTGGATCTGTGCCTTCTGAAGATTGTTTCCCACACAACAACAACAATTTTAGTTATAGTCCAAGTCTTGGAGGGTCAACAAGCTCCTCAGTAAATTCTCTGCCGCAACTGGGAAGTAGTACGCCAACCCACTTTCCTCCTCTCTCGCCCCCTGTTCTGCCCATCTACCCGCCTTGTACACCTCCCTCAACTCCTCCAGTTAACAAAGGAAAAGGTTAGTGACAGATTCAAATTCGATTTAACCCTTTCTTAATATTGTATTTACTTTGGAATTTTTTCCAATTTAGGTGAAAAGCTACGATTTCCCACAACACCACCTCCTAGGAGAAAGATTCATGGCAATTCTAGTGCATATAATCATTCTCATTCAAATCAAATTAGTCAAGACCAGCTTGTTCAAGAGCTGAAAAATTTAGTATGCCAGGAGAATAGTGATCAAGGAACTGCAAGGTATCAGCCTCAATATAACCCTTTTCAACAACATCACCCTCAAAATCAACACCTGCAGCAGCAACAGCAACATCAGCATCAGCAACATCAGCATCAGCAACATCAGCATCAGCAACAACAGCAACAACAGCATCAGCAACAGCAACATCAGCAACAGCAACATCAGCAACAGCAACATCAGCAACAACAGCAGCAGCAACATCAACAATCACAACAACAAATGCAGAGTGCTCTTGGTGATGCTCAAACTCTAACCAAGTCCAAGTCTCATGAATTCCAATTAGGAAACAGGGTAGAAGGAGCAGAGAGTAATCAGAGCAGGTATCAAAAGATGCAGAGTATAATTTGTTTCTAACACTGTACAAATATGTGTAGTTAACTAAAATCAATCTGTTTTTGTGTCACAGTGATGCAGCTGGCACTGCTAATGGTAAACCTTTTAGACGTGGTCGGCTCCCCACTGAACCAGGACCTAACTGTAGTGATTATGGCCAAACTTCTCCTCTCTTATCTAGCCCTATTAAATCACCACCTTACAGTACAGCAGGCACTGACAGTGATGACAACAGTGCAAAATGTAAATCAAGCAGTTTTGCTTTGATTACTTCTTACTTTATTGTTTTATTGATTGCTTTTTCCAATCATAATCGTCATTTTCTCTTACAGCAAGCCTCCAAGTTCCAAAATCTCCTCGACCAGCTCCAGTCTTGACAAGAGGCATGGCTCATGATATTGCTCATCGTTTCACTAAAACATACAAGATGATTGCTAATTGTGATTATTGTGATAAGCAGATGTTTATGGGTTCGTAATTCAATTTTTTAAAATTTATTTTTGTTTTAATTTAGTTTTTGTAAGTTTTATTTGTGGTCTTTTAATTATTTTGCAACTATTTTCGTGTTTCAGGTTTGAAATGCACTGAATGCAAGTACAAATGCCATAAAGACTGCAAGTCTAAAGTGCCTCCATCTTGTGGCCTACCAAGGGCACTTGTTGAAGCATTCCGAGCAACACTTAAATCAGATGGTTTGTGAAACTGCTTTTTCCCCCTTGACTTAAAACTCTTTTACTGTAGTTTCTTTTTATCATGGGTTTCTTTTTCTCTGTAGGCATGGGCCCACCAAATTCTAATCAGTCCCCAAGCATGAGAAGACCATCTCCAAGTCATTCTCTGAACAACAACTTCTTTAATCGTAAGGATCGCAAGCGATCACACCCTCAGCCTTCAATTCAAATTCCACCATTCCAGGTCAGTAAGATCAGCTAATACTGTATTTAGAATAAAGTTACTTTACCTTGTGAGTTCTCATGTTAATTACCATTTGAGTTAACAGGGTCCAGATTCAAGTTCCAACACTTCAAGCTGCAATTCCTCTACACCATCATCACCAGCGATGATGCTACAGCATGCATCATCAGCTGCCCCTACCACTAAGCAGAACTCATTCCACTTCCCTGAAGTGACACTTCCTCGGGGAGTTACCTTGGAGACTCACCCTCTGACCGCACCTCCAGCTCTAGAGGAGATTATGGAAAAAGCACAAAAAGAAGGTGTTTCAATGGTAATTTAGAAAATAATATTTAAAAAACGAACTGAAAGATCCTTTTTACTTAACAAATAGATGTTGGGCTCTTATCAAAATTGATATTGGCTTTGCAGGACAGTGATAAAACATTATCAGTATCTGGTTCTGGAAGTATTAGCACAGATTCAGAACGAACACCTGTGCGTGTAGATAGCCAAGATAGCCAGGTGTCAGATGGAGAGGCTACAGATGGCAAAGGGTGGCCAAGACAGAATAGTGTAAGCACTCTATTTTATCTATCAAATCAAATTTGTGATCCATGTTGCTTCCTCCAGCTAATTTATTTTGTACACCATTGTCTTTAGTTATCAATGCGGGAATGGGATATTCCATTTGATGACTTAAACCTTGGAGACCCATTGGGCACTGGTCACTTTGGCACAGTGTACAGAGGTAGTTGGTATGGCGATGTAGCCATCAAAGTACTGAACATGGACAAAATGGATGATACAGACATGGAGAAGACATTGGAAGCCTTCAAGCTAGAGGTAATACTGAAATAATATTGTGAATATTGTACAACTGTATCTTGAAACTTTCCAGTTGGTAATTGTTAATATTTGTTTTTCCTAGGTTGCAATATTCCGTAAGACCAGACATGAAAATTTAGTTCTGTTTATGGGAGCTTGCATGAAGCCTCCCAGATTAGCCATAGTTACAAGCATGTGCAAAGGTCTGACTCTCTACACTCACATTCACATCCGCAAGGATAAATTTAACATGAATCGCACCACAATGGTTGCTCAGCAGATATCTCAGGGTATGGGATATCTCCATGCCCGTGGTATAATTCACAAGGACCTCAAAAGCAAAAACATATTTCTTCAGAATGGGAAGGTTGTAATCACTGATTTTGGGCTCTTCAGTGTAACCAAATTGTGCTTTGGAAACAGGTGGGTTGATGAGCTTTATACATTTTTCTTGTAGAATAATGATTAAACCTACTCGAAACCTTTCAAATTTATTATGATGTGCTTAGTTACATTGTTTAATTGTGTGGATTTTTTTTTTATCATTCTTAGGAAAGGAAAGGGCCTTAGTATTCCTCGTGGCTGGTTATGTTACCTTGCTCCTGAAATTATGTGCAGCCTAAAGGCTCAGCAAAACCAATTGGATGATGAACTTCCATTTTCAAAGGCTTCTGATGTATATGCTTTTGGGTATGTATTCTCTACTTGTATTGTTTAGTGAGAACTCTTTGAAAGTACCGCATTCACCTGATTATAAGACCCACCCACCCCCCACGACGAATGTTTGGGGGGTCTTATAATCATGTGAATATGGTATCAGTTGAAAGATATGTAATTTCCATTTACTTTCAGAACTGTATGGTACGAGCTTTTGTGTGGGGAGTGGCCTTTCAAAGCTCAGCCCCCTGAGTCTATAATTTGGCAAGTTGGGAAAGGAATGAAACAGACACTAGCTAACCTTCAAGCTAGCCGAGATGTTAAGGTAAGTCTATGTTAAGTGCCATTCAACATGTGTGTGTGTCACTCCCAAGCCTCCTCTGTCTGTGGTGTCTTTCAGTCTGATCAAAGGGTTTATATTGTGCTTTCTCTTCTCTCTCTCTTTTTTTCCCTTTTTTGAAAAGTTAGTTGTTTAGTTATTCTGGTGTCTTCTAACCCTGAACTAACCCATCTTTTCCATGTCTGTACATAAGGCTCCTCTCTTTCCCATCTCTCCCTCTCCTCTCCCCTCTCTTCGTCAATTTGCGGAGAAGGGGAAGCCCAAGCATCACGATCGGCATTATCACCTTCCCAAAGATACTAGTCATAGTGCATCAAGTGAGGTGGGTATTGAGTGCATTGTGCTACTTTGAATGGGGAATTCATATTGTTGAGACTCCTGCTTTGTATTCTGTGTATTGAGTTTGCAAACTTTTTGAATAAAATGTAACTTTTGTTTTAAACAGTAACAGAGACATAAGCTGTGCTTTCCATAAGCTAGGGAAAATCTTTTTTAAGAACCACAAAAAAGGAAATAGAAAAAATTGTAATCAAGATGTTTCTTGTTAATTTTTTTGTTTAGTTTGTGCATTTTTTAATGTAGTGTATTAAAAATTAGCAGTTTCATTCATATTATTGAAAGTGATAACGTTTTGGTGGCATAGTAGTATTTAATTGTTTGTTTTGAAGTACCTATTAGGGTTTAACTTTTTTTTAAATGCTTGCTAATCTTAATCTCTCACAATTATAATTTAAAGGCTATACGCCCTCGCAACTCCCAGGTAACTTCATTGCGCAATTTGGCTGAACAAGGGAAGCCTAAAGGCCTGAATGAGTGGCACCTAGACCATCTCAACTTGGAAGATAATGATGATGATAATGGATTGAGTTTATCTGCTGAGGTGGGTTTTGGGTGACCAGCACAACTCCAGTCAGCATGTACTTTTTTCAGTCCTAGTAGAGGAGGTGTAGTTGAACAGTGAAGATAACCTCTTGCATGTCTCCAGTTTCGTTGTGTAGTTTAAGTTACTTGGGAATTTGAATCAATGTGATGTTCTCATTGGAGTTTTCTACTTGTCAGGATATCTTTATTCAACTCTACTTGTACAGGAAAGCCCTGCATGGTTAGGTGTTTACGTATCGAAGACAATCTATTTATCTATAATGGCTTGTTGCCTCTACTCAGCTTTGCTTTCTAAAAGTGTTTTTTTTATTGTGTTTTTTTTTTCTAAATTATTATTGATGTTTCTGTATTTCTCTATTTATGCTTGTTGCAATGCTATTCTGCCTGGCTGTCCTCTGTTTTGAAGGGTCCAGGTTCAAGGTAGTCTTAAGCTCACTAACTCATCCCTCTTTATACTGCAGGGTGTTCCAGAGGTTCCGTACTTATTTTTTGGGTCATACTGTACCGCATTTAGGGGTGTAGGTGGGTTGTCTTGTCTACTAGCGCGGCCCCATGAGGCGCCACCGGTGACGCTACGGTGAGCCACGGTAAGCAAGCTCACCCGCTCACCCTGGTGCCAAGCGAGCAGACCACACGCCTGCTTGTGGTACAGTAGAACTAAAAGAAAATTACGAGACTTATGGTACACCCCGTACAGTCTGATTAAGAGGAGACGGTGTAGAGATATTTTTTTATCACCAAAAAGGGCACAGGGTGCTGTTATAGAACCTGCTGCATACAGTTACGGCATGGGTTCAACTACCTTACTAAATTGTGTGAAATATTTATTTTGAGCTTATCGTCTTCATGTTTATTGTTTCTTTTGCTATTGGTGGCAATCGAACTCATCACTTTCATTATATTTGTAGGGGTTGCGTAGTTATTTTGATTTTATCGTAACATATTCCAAATTTAATTCTTTGCAAAATCTTTTTCCTTTATTTGGCACTTATCAACTTTTTGTATCTTATAATTTTTTTCTTGCATCATTGCATTATTGTTAAAGTCTCTGTATCGAACTTAATTGTCTTTTACTAACTTTTGTTTTATATTCTAATTCTTCCTATCTCTGTGTAATGCAATGTTTTAAACTGTTGGATGGTGTGAATATTTTAAAGAGTTCAAATGCTAAAATCTAATTTGTTTTACAATCTTTTTCTAGGACATTTTGATGTCATGCTGGTCATACAAGCCTGGAGATAGACCGGACTTCGTGCGGCTGCTGAACACTTTTGAGAAACTACCGAAAAAGAGACTAGTACGCAGTCCCTCTCACCCCATCCAGTTATCAAGATCAGCTGAATCGGTTTTCTGAGTGACACAGAGCCGGGCTAGAACCGGCTCAGTCGGAGGAGATCAGCCTCTCTTCTACAACTCAAAGCTGTGGGACAATGCTCCTCAGCAGGAAATGGACCTCACTGGGAGCTACTCTTTAAAGAAGTGACTTTAAGAATGTGTGATTTCTTGCTCCTGTAGATTGAGGCTTTATGCCTTTTTCTTTTCTAGTCACATTGTCATTGAATTTTATGTCTTTACTGTTTGTGTGATTGTGGTAAAACTTGTATTAGCTCTAAAATTTTGTGAGATGGGAGACAGCAGTTACATGTTGTTGTTTTTTTTAAACACAAAAGATAAACAAATTTTAAATCCCAATTCATTTTGCTAGAAGAGTATTACTTAATTAACTAATATTAATGGCAGATTAACTCTGAATACAGTTGTAAAGTAAACACCGCTATTCTTTCAACCGACTTAACATGGATTTAAAAAATAATAACTGCTACTATTTCAATATAAACGATCTATCATGGTCGCTAATGTTAGTCCAAAGGCTTACCTCTTTTATTCTATCTACTACTTGTAGTTATCTACTGACGTCAATACCCCAATTACTAAACCATGTCAAAAAGGATGTTAAAATCAGAGGATGTAACATTGACTAAGCTACCAATTTCAAAGTATTGATTTGGTAATTGATTTAACTTCTGCAAATAATCACTTTGTAAAGTTCCTCACAACAGTCAAATAGGTTCTTACGTCTTTTTCAATGGGGTTTATGTCTCTTCCTGCAAAGCGAACTATTGGTACATGTACACCATAATATGTCATACCAGTTGGGTTTTTTTCTCCTCTTTTTTTTTTTTGGTGTGTGTGTGTGTGTGTGTGTGTGTGTTATGTAAAGTGTATGATATACTTTTATTAGATTCAAAAAGTATTCTGAAGAGTCCTTACAATTACTTCATCTTCACCAATATTTCAACTAATAATTATCTGGTTAATATGTCATGGATGAATGTGAGTACCGTAGTTTGATCTCAATCTCAATTGTAGATGAATTTGTGATTTGTGACTCTTAAGTAACGTATACTTTATTTGTACATACGTCACTATCTTGGTAGCCTATGAATTGATGTTTTAAGTGCCTTTCAAAGAAAATATAGTAGAGAACTGCATCAGCAAAGGATTATTATGAATATGTAGCATTTTTGAAAACGAAGAACACTGCATTGTAACTTTAAACAGAGTGCTGTAAACTCTTTTCAAAGTGAAAATTGATATCTTTTTAAGTAATTAGAACATGAAGACCACAGCACAATTTGTGACGCTTTAAAGACTGTACAAACGTCTCTAAGCCATTATATTTCATTTTTCCCTTAAAATGTTACGGATTTCAAACATTTCTTTTACATACTATGTCCCCTGCAGATTCCTATGTTTGGTTGCCAGATTTTTTCCACCTGCAGTCTCTAGCATATTTCTTTTTGTTATCTATTTATTTCTGTTATACAGTGACTGAAAAAGATGCTGTTGTATGGCCAGCAAGAGCAATCTTATCATTTCAAGCTCCTACTCTAATTACAGTCTTTAATTTATTGCCTAAGGTTATCCTTAAAAAGTAATTGTGATAAAACTTTTCAGTAAAATTTTAAATGTTCTGCTACCACTCCATAAATTGGAGAGAGCTGAGCACCGCTGACATAATGGTACCACATAGACAAGTACTCTCATTGTAGGTGTGTATCATTTAATCTTGTACTTGGAATGTGTGTTGTGTGTTTTCTTGTATGTGCTATGCCCAGCAAGAATAACACAATAAGTGAGGACGAGTTAGAACTAGCAATAAATTCTTATGTAATGTTTTATATCTTCCATGTGGTTTATGGGTAATGATTTATCAGTGTCCACTTGTGTCCTTAATTGTGCTTTCATTTTTAATCTTTGGACATGTATTCTGTTCTCTCAGAAAGAGCTATTACAAAATGTTCCTTACACATTCTTTATGCTGGAACATAGCTTTGACAGAGAAGAAAATCGCCCTTACAGTCGACAAATTGTTGACCGTTTGGGAGCCTAGTTGTTTATGTTTGTGTCACATACATTATGGTAAGAACGGCATGTTTTCTTGTCACTTTACCCATCATACCATGGTTTCTTATGGTTAAGGGATTAGGTAACAAAATGCTTTCAAGAGCACAGTACCCTTAATTTCTATGTCTATGAATCAGAGTAATGTCTTGTTCATTGATTTGGAACTTTATCTGTGATAATTTTTAAGTCCTTATGTATTATATTATATGAAAGTTATTAATCTTTTAGCATTACAGCAATTGAAGATAACTTAGGGACTTTTTCTGTAAGCAGTCTTAAAGATCAGGCAAATGCAATCACAAACTTAACTTTATTGATGCAGAAACTTATGATTAAGTAACCTGTACAAAATTTGAAGAAAGTTTGTTCTGCACATCTGGCATCCAGCACTTGCCAAAGCTAGCACCTTTTGTTGTTTAATCTCCTATTTGCCCTTTTTTTAATTTTTATTTGTTTGTGAGGGGTTTTTGCTCAACCAATACCTCCCACCAAGTAGGTAAAGCTCTATCAAACTGTGTTCAGTTTGCTTATTTTAATGCTGTGTATGGTACCTGTAATAGAAGTATTTCCATTGTTTTTGTTTTTATATTGATATTTTGTGGAGATAATTATGCTAGTCAGGAGAAAGTTGATAGTCAGTCTAGGTTGGGAAATTGTAATCATCTGTCACATTGACTTGACACAATGCCCCAAGCATTGCCAAGAACAGTTATCAGTCAGTGGAAATTGCTGCTAATCACTCAGTATTTTGTTTCAGAATTTAAGATTTGGCACAAAATTTACAAGGTTTTACAAACAACAAAAGTAAACATTGTGTTGACACGAATTTACGACACTGAGAAACTTTAATTCTTTATGGGTCCGTAAAGAGTGTCATTGCCAACTTTTGATTTGAATTTTAGCTGTAAGGAGCAGTGCATCCACATACCAATTACAGTGATGAGGTGAATGGGGTCTGCCTAATTCAACATTCCTCAGGATGGAACTATTCTTTGTAACACCCCTGTTGTTCGCAGCACTCTACAAGTTTCTGTTCTTTTTTTTTTTACTGTTTTCTTCAATTTTTATCTTACTTTATGTGCAATATGTCTTTGTTCAAAATTTTCTCAATGAGACTTAAACAACTGCACTTACTAATCCAATCGCCAGTATGCTAAAGTGCTCTAAATCTTCGGACATTTTTGAACCAGTTTTGTATGTGCAACTGTTATAAGTATAGTTGGTTGGAACTTCTCTTCAAAGAAATTCATAATCATTTATTTCCCCCCTATACTTGAACTGCAAGATGCTTAAATGTAGATGTCTGAAATGTGTGTTATATTAAAATTCTGCAACATATCCAGAGCACCTGTGATGTGTAACATACCTGTAGAATTGTCTTTAAAACTTACCTGAAAAGACTTAAATATATCTCTGTAGCTACAAATTGTAGTCTTATATTCTTTCACATTGTTTGACAGCATGACTCCTTTGTCTCAGTTGTCCGGTTTCAAATGTGAATGAGCCATTATCGCTATGATCCATGAGTTAAAAGTTTTGAGACTTATGACCATTATTGAGCAATAAGTTCCCTTTTAGGAATGTTAGCTTTGTCCATGTAGGTATTTCAAAGTTGTGAAGTCTCTTTTCGGTCTTTAAGAAAGTAACTAATAAGATCTCCAGAAATTGTTTGAAGCTAAACATGAAATATTGAAGCATCACTGAGCGAATCTGAAATTAATCTTCAAAGGATTGGGATTGCAGTTTAATTCCAAGATGAACTGTTAAAAAGCTGTAAATAATGAGTAGATTTGTTTTAAGAGTTTGACTTATTTATTGATGACTGTACATAAATTGTAAATAATAACTGGCCATAAAACTTGACTTGTTTTGTTTATCTTATTATAGACAACTCGCAATGTCTAGGCACAGACGGTAGGGAGGCTTATTTGAGAAATTTTACACATACAGAGAAAGATCCCCATGATACAACATAATAAGCGGCTAAAGACATTGATGTTACTGGTTAACAAAATAAAAGAAATACTGAGTAACATCTACATCAAATTCAATCATTAAAAATGTTATGAATCAGCTAACGCTGATTTTAGTCACTTGGCTGAAACTTGAGAACAGCGACTTGAAATGTTCAAATACGATGAAATCATACACTACATATTAGATGGGCTTGATCTTGTAGTGCAGACCAATTAGAGAGAACACCAAACACTTCAAATCTTGTACTAAGTAATAGAAGCAACGAAGTCCGTCGGGATCACGGGATTGATTGACGTCCACCAAGGACCCGGTCTTGGACGTTGTGAATGAGATGTGTTCGTCGCCTATAACGATTTCCAGCTCCTGTCTTCCGACGCGATCTGGTTGCGGCCAGAGAGAGTCATCTTCTTGCATGATTTCAGAATCAACGATGATCCTCTTCAGCTCATCCATGACACACTTGTGAACGTAAGCTTCTTTCCTGATCATCGTGTCATTTTTGTAGTTGGAGTTGTTGGCGTACCGCAACTTGCCGTCCGGTCTGAATTCAAACTCCAAGAACTCGTGCCCAAATTTACCTTTGTGCCCTACGTAGTACCGAATGTAAAAATCGGTCGACATTTCAAAAGACGGGGCAGCAAGCAAAGAAATAAACAGTTCAGCAGAGACACTTGGAGGTTATGGTTGTTTCTGCGGCTAACTTGCAATGGCGCGTCCGGCGTCTCCGCGGTCACGGCCGGCTAGATGACACCGAACTTAATGCTGGCTTTATGGTGTACGTGGGTCGAAAGCCAGTGACCAGAAGATAACAAGAACAACAAGCAGAAAGAAAAGACGTCTGTAGCTTATTTCGTCTGCTAGATGTTCAGTGATATATATTTTAGAATGTTTTCACCGTAACCCTTTCACATCAAGACAGAAGGTGCTCAAGCTTTCCTAGAGTAAGTGCACCGTAATATTCGTCACCTGATATCTCTTTGTTTCTCATTAAAATTCGTGAAAATGATCCGGTCTGCTGGAAAAGAAGACGTTGCTACCTGGTCCATAGCAAAGATTCTGCGAGATGAGCTTAATTCTCATCTAGGTGTTTGGTCTTGTATACTGAAAGGCAACACCGACTACGCTTTATATCCCGGGAGATTGCCATTATATACCGCTAACACTAAAAATAAACCACAAAAACCCATGTCTGCCATTTAGCCATATAGGGGTTTGATCGGGTTGATGATTTGGGGGGGGGGGGGGGGTACTTTCATTCCGTGTACAGTATGTTTCGTAACTTTTCATTAGTTTTCACACCACACTGATGACAATCGGTATATTTGTGGGTAGGGTGGGGTAAAGAAGCGAGATAAAAAAAAGAATTCTGAGTATATACCCGCCTCCCAAGGGCCCGAAGGTCTCTACTAATGAGACGCCTGAAAATAGGCAATCAGCTCTATAGTAGCCAATAAAACTCCTTGGATCATATTACCTTCCCCCGCCCCTTTTCTCTTCCAACATATGGCACCATCACCATAATGGCGCTTATCCATTGTTCCTTTTTTATCCCCACAGGCCCATGCATTGGGCTCAGAATGGTGGTGCAGTCACCGGGGCGGGGGTGGATCGACCAGCAGCAGCCAGGGCGACATCCACCAGGTGACCACGGCGGCCCCTGCCCCACGTCTGCTGAAAAACACCAGCCCAGCAAGGAAAAGCGTTTCACGTTTGCAGTGCCTCAGCGAAGGCCTCCGACTCCTGCTGCCATGGTGGAATGGGTGAGGGCAGCGTGCGTTCGTCACCAATAATAGCGGGGAATGCCTTCGGGAGCTTCACATAAACCTTTCTGTTAACAGAAAAACACATTCAACGTCCGGCCCGCTCTGCTGAACACACTCAGAGCACGGCGCCATGGGCATCGGCAAGGCGCGGCCGGCGGGGCCAATGGGCCTGCGGGTCGGGGTGTCGCTGGAGTGCCAGGGCCAGGAACCCCCGGGGCACCCCAGGCACCAAGCTTCGGGGCGGCCAGGTCTCTGGACTTGTTGAGAGTGAATCTTCAGTCCGCAATCAACAAGGACATAAAGGTGGTGCTCAACAAATACATGGAGGTTGGTGCTCGAAAACAAATCACGCCCAGAAAGCATAGCCATAAGAGTATTCGGAGACCAACGCCCAACATTAATGGCATTTCCTCCCCTAGCGGTTCTTCCAGCCCGCCGTGGACAACATTCGCGTCAACCTCGGCCTCGGTTGCGAGGTGCTTCTACTCGAAGAACAGGTGAGGGAGTATTCAATTAGTGACCCTCTTGCTATGATCCTGCCCATGCCCAACGTCTCCCGCTCCCACAGGTTCGCGTCGTGCTGCAACGGGTGCTCGAGGAGGCCAAGCTGATGTACACGCTGAGGCCCGCTCCTCCGCGGCGCCACCGCAAGCGCAGCCGCAGCAGGCCCGCCGCCCCGGTGCAGGATCAAGCGAAGCAGGCCGTTTCCAAGGTCGCCAACGGGGCGCACTCGGAGCGGGCCGTGTCCGTGCACCCGCTCAACGCCAGCCCGCCGCCCGCCACCCTGCAGCAGGTACCGTGGTGCACGAGCAAGCCCGAGCAGCAGGGCCTCCCGGACACGCGCATGTGCTCTCACGGCGCCTCTCTGCCCGCAGATGTTCAAGAAGCGCAAGGAGATGGACGCCGAGGCGGAGGCGAAGCGGAAGAGGGCGCGACTCGCCGGCCCAGTGTTCGCGGCCGGGCCGTCGGGTGCGGCCGTCTCGCCCGTCAACGCCAACCCGGTCGCGCCGATGGTGCCGGCCACCGCGTCCACCCCCGCCACGCCCCAGAGCAGGCTGAGCCCCGGCGCCGCAGCCCTGGCCCGACCCAGCATGGGGGCGCCCCCCACCCCTTCCAACCCGCTGCTGGTCAACTACCTCTCGCCCAAGTGGGACCCGGCCAGGATAACGCCCGACACCATGTTCGTCATGGGCGCCAGGTTGGTAAAGTACAGTACGGGACTCGCAGGTTCAGGAACCCGGTGTTTCTCATATGCGCTCCAGTATTGCGAGTTTGCCCACTCACGTCGTCCGTAAGGCGCCATGGACGCTGCGCTGCGGCCCTTGCGAGTATGCAATCCCGCAACATTCGAGCTCTTTCAAAGAAACACCCGGTGCATGCTCAGAAAAATTACAACCGGCATCACCCGACCTGTCCGCAGGGCCAACAAGGTTCTGGGATACGAGACCTCTCGAGGGCGGCTGTACACCAAACACCAGGACCTGTTCAAGTACGCCAGCGATCAGGAGGATAAGGAGTGGCTCGCGAGGAATCAGCTCATCCAGCCGACTGGAGGCAAGGCCTTTCTGTGCATCATGCAGGACATCCACGAGCTGGCCGTCAGCCAGGAGTACAAGTAAGTCAAGAGTACGAGTCTTATGATATTTTCATTTCTCCCCCCCCCCCCTGACTTGTGGAAACCCTGGAAACCTTGCTCTCGGCGGGATGGAATAGGCAAAGCCGCAACACTGCAGCGTTCCCTCTGCCACACCTGGTACCCTAGTTCATGTTCGTAGCGCATGCGTAGTGCTGGATCGCCATTGATGATAGCGCCTGCAACGCGGTGGGTATACTAGCCCGCCATGCAGCTGTGTGGGGCACGCGGCCCGCCCTGTGGGCGGCTCCCGACCCGCACCGCGCAGCGCCGTCTCGGGGAACGTCCAGTGTTGGGACACCAAAGTGGATTAAAACGCTTCTTTAAAACTCAGGGACAATCCTCTGGTGAACCTGCTCGAGCTGAAAGGATTCCGCGCTCCGGAGTTTTTGCTGAAGAAAATTCGCGCGTACATGCGCAACTTGCGGACTGAACCTCTGGACGACCTCTCCGGCCTACTCGAGATGGATCTGCTTCAGGAGGACGGTAAGTAGAGTAGTTCACGTACGTAATGAATTATTCCTCTTAAACAAGCCGCCCCGTAAAATTTGGACGATTTCGTCGCACAGGGGTGGCCACCATGGACGACTCCTCCCTTATGGAGCTGGCTCTGGAGTACGGCGTGACCCTTATGAGTGATGACACCTCTCCGTCGCCGTCCCCTGCCTCGGCGCCGCCCGCTGGGCCCCCCGCGAGCCCGGAGGCCGCGGCCGCGGGCTCAACGACCTCCCCAGTCGAGATCTCGTCTGTGCCCTCGGCCAGGGTGAACGCCACGCCACTCACCACACCCACCCCGTCGACGACGGCGTCCCCGACTGCGACGCCCGCCACGGCAAGCGGTGGCGCCGTCCCTCTTACGAGCTCCAGCCCTGCATCCCCGCAGCACCATGCCCCGCTCGCAGCGGAACGGGGCGCGGAGCGGGGCGTCCCGGAGCGTGCCAAGGGGCTGATTCGCAGCCAGTCGCTGCCCGCGCCCGCACCCTTCATGATGGAGTCGTTGGCTCTGGAGGAGCTCGAGCTATACATCAAGAGCCACTCCGTGGAGGACGGCCACTTCGAGCACATCATGACAACGTCAGGCGCTGAGGCCGAGGCCGCAGAGGCAGACACTGAAGGTGACGGTGCTTTAGACGCCAGTCTGGATGCCAGCCTGGAGGCCAATCTCGATGCGAACCTCGACTTGAACCTTGATGTGAACTTGGACGTGAGTGGCACGGAGCACAGTCAGCTGGAGCTGGCGTGGGACTTCATCGGGGAACTCAACACCCCGACACACAGTCCTTCTCCCTCTGCCCACGCGCCAGAGGAAGGCGATCGCGCCCACGACTTCCAAGCCGAGGGGCCAGTCGCCGAGGAAGCCGAACCTGGTCCTGTGGTGACCGCCCCCTCAGGGTCGGAGGGCCTCGACTCCGCGGCCGGTGGGCAGGGCAGCACTGAGACCTCACTCGCCATGAGCCACGCCACTCTGACTGCCCTTTTGTCCGGGAACACGTTAGAGGGCTTGGACATCCCAGACGGACTATTGTAGCACAACGCCACCAGCCGAATAGAGCCTGCCCATGGACAGGGGTCAACGGTTTCGGCTGTCGCGTGCCACAAAGACCTCCCCTAATTATCTCAACGCCTTCCCTATTATAAACTCGATAAAAACAACAAACTACATTAAAAATAGAAAGATGAGTGTGAGAGTTTATCAAGTTCTAATCATGTTTCCTGCCAAACGACTTGCATATGGTTGTGTTGGTGAGGGGAATTCCCACTTGTACTCAAAGATACCCTTGACAAGGAATGTGATTTCTGTTTGTTTTGTTTCTAAAGGGTCTTTGATAGTTCAATTTTTTTATTCATTTTTATTCAATTTACTTGTGATTGTGTATCTCTTCTAGTCTTCTAATATTATCTATTACCTACTTTTTGACCTACTTTACCTTTAGACTTTTACACACACACATTAACCTTAGGAGGTTAGTTTTTGCCAGCAAATTCACTGTGTAGGTTACTCTTAAGACTGATAGAAACATAGTACAGGAAGTGTGTTAAGTGTGTTCAAATGAACTTTCCAATTTAACAGAATTTACCATGCGTTTCAGCCTTAGGTAGTAACAAAATTGTATGATTATAATTATGCAGAATGGACACTTAAACACAATATTCCACTCAGGTTTTAGCATATGTGAACTATTTATCGCATTGTTACTTAAATAACATAGTTTCCAGTACTTGTCTAATTAGACTTATAAATGATTAAGGTTCCATGACATTAACTCACACAAGGTTTCATAACGGTTGTGATTAAAAATTCCTTATGTTCTGTGAGTGACTTTTGGCATTTATTTCTAGTCATAAATCAATAGAAAGTCAATATGGTTCACTTGATGTTTCAAATAGATTAAAGGAAGATCTTAAAGATGATAGACAATGCAAAATACCCAAATATATGGCAAAATAAAGAAAGTACATGAAAGAAATTCAAGCAAGCAAAATATTACTACACAGGCTATTATGAACTGGGCAA